GGGCTTTGGGGTCAGACAAACTTGGACAAGTTAGTTTATCCGTCGGAGCTTCAGCTTCCTCCTAAGATGGGTATCTATTTTGGTTACTTTGTGCTGCTCTAACAGAAAATACCACAAATAGCTGGCTTCAACAAACAGGAGTTTATTATCTTACAGCTTTGGAGGCTAAAAGTCTGAGTTCAAAGTACCAGGATCTAAGGGCTGGTAAAAGCCCCTCGACCTTGGGCTTCAGCTCTGCCTCTTGCTACTGGCCCATTGGAGCCAGAGGTGTCTCTTCACTCAGGCAGCTGCTGACTTCTGAGGCTGACATCCCCAAGGTCAACAAGTAAAAAGGCACAGTCCCATTTTACCAAACCACATGGCAGGCCACTGATTCAAGTCCACAATAGTCCCAAGGCTGGCAGACAACATGGCAGGCTGCTGAATGATGATTCAGGTACATGCAGGAGTCAAGCATGCCTAAAGCTGGATATCTTCCTCAAAGCTGATTCTTATATACTGGAAGCAGGTCACATCCCTAAGGCAGCTACTCAGCTGCTTCAGTAGAATCCACCATGAAATTAATTGCTGATCTCACCAGGGGAATGACTCTATCTGTCTGCCCAGCTACTCAAAACCAGGCCCAGCCAAGTTGACACATAAATCTTAACTACCACAGTATCATATATGCTTTAGATGAATGCTGTAAAGATTACATACAAAAATGGCTATAAAATGCCTTATCCAGTAAGTCCTCAGCGATTTTTATTTTATTTTGTGGTAGCATTTCCTATCTCACCAGGTATGTCGAGCCAAGCATGAATGGTGAAAAAACAACAAAGACAACAAACTCCAAATTTGGAAAATTCACAGATCCCATCACACAGATTTCATCAGCAAGCACTTGGCACTCATATGCAAGCATGGCTGATGGCATGACTGGCCCATTCATTATTCATCAATCGATGCAGGTAGAAAATTAAATTTGATCCATTAACTACTATAACTGAAAAAATTGACTTTAGAAAGGCACACCAGCATAACATGTCTTCCACATAGATCCCATCCATGTGTGGTGATGCTCTGGTGTTCATCCCATCTGATAAAGTCTGCTTTTTGATGAGTTCAGTACCAGAAAGAAAGTCACTGAAAAATCAATAACAAGTAGGGAGGGCAAAGAGCCATTCAGAAAGAGACCAGTCTTGTAAAGGAAAAGGAGAAGCTGAGAGTCCTGATTTACTTATATTACAGGAAAAGTGCACTATCTTTCCCTCTGATTCTCAGCAGGAGCTGAGGAGAAATTTTTTTGTGGTTATGGAGAGAGCAGAATTTGCAGCAAGCAGCACAAACCTTTCTACTCACTTCTTTGACTCTTCCACAGCCTATTTCCTGCTCCCTGGGGGTGTTCTAGCAGCATTAGGCTATCTTCCCAACACACATTAAAGCAGTGTCTCTGAACCTTATTAAAAAACAACAACAACCCAATAAACAAACAAAACCAACCTCTGTTGTGCCTTAATACATGTGAAATATCTAACGCATCCCTGGAGACTGTGATGCACCAAAACACACTTTCTCTTCTTTATCTACTCACTGTCAAAATAGGTTACTGAATGCTGCTTTCTATAGTTTATGCTATGGAAGGTTTATATAGGTTCTTTTTGCATGTTCCAAAAATTAAATTTTATTTTCAAATGAGTATTTTTTTTTTTTTTTTTTTTTTTTTTTTAAACTACAGATACCCCCACTTTTGGCAAATATATATGCTGCTCCCCCTTCTCCCTTAAGTCATTGAACTAAAGGGACTAAAATGGGGTTTTGATTTGTGTTCTTCTGAGTTTGGTGTGAAGTAAAATAAATAAATAAAAGAAATGCAGCACTTCTTGTCTTTCTGTCACAGAGGTGCTGCTGGCAAGACCATGAGAAGTTGGCATTATTGGCTCTGAGCAAGCACTCTGGTCCTCTAGAGAGGAGGTCAGCCACTGGGCAACGAGGAAGGTGTCCAAATACAATAGTAACCCCGTTCACCTGTGATGAGTCCTGAGTAGGTGTGAGGTCCTGCACTAAGCGCTTCATGAGGATTATTTCAGTTCATCCCCACAAACATCTGATGAGGTGCCTGAGGAGGAAACCAAGGCCTAGGGCCCGTGAGCATTTCCCAAAGCCACAAAGCTAGTAAAAGCCCATGTTTATTCTAGAACCAGACTTCTTAGCTGGGAAGTATTCTGCTGAAGTATAAATAAGCTGAAATTAATTACTGGGAGGAACATGAAAGCAATCAGAGACTTCAAGTATGTGTTTAACACACATACACAGCTCTACTAAAACACTTTCCCAAAGCAATATTTGGACAGTATTATGAAATGTAGTTTAAACAAGCACACACGTTAGGGGGATAGTTAGTTGTGGAAGTTTTCCAGAAGCAGATGGATCTGAAGTTTTGGACTTGGCCAGGGCGTGGTCTGGCAGAGACCTGCAGCTGAGGGTACAATTCTGGGACAGAGAATGGTCATATCTAAAGCCCTGTGGTGCAGTGAATTACTTAGCATGGCTCTTTTAGCCATGGTCTGTGGAAGTTCATGGTCATTCCACCAGATGACTGAGTGGGTCTATGCAAACGTGAGGTGGTTTGTTCCAAGGGGACTGGATAGATTGCCAACAATGTAAATAAGGTGTATGGCAACCTTGTGGGGGTGGGATGGTACAAATAAGGTATGTGGAACCATAACACGGGGATTGGTCAGTTTTGCCATCCTGCTATGCTTAAAATGAGCCATCTCAGAGGTGGAAAGGGGGTGCCTTTTCAAAGACAGAAGAATAATCAAGAATGGAACGTAACTGTCCTTGGACTCGAGATCCCTGTGCTGAGATGTAACTGTCCTTGGACCCAAGATCCCTGTGCTGAAATGGCAGAGAGACAGCAGCAGCAGCAGAGGCCACAAAGCAAAAAACCAGCATGAGACAGAGTGGTAGGCTTGCTAACCAATAGAGCAAGAAAGTTTAGTGCCTTTGGGCAGAAGTCTTGCTGGCAGAGTGGGGTGCACATAGGTGTACCTATCAGTGGTGCTAAAAGAGTTTTTTTGGCACTTTCCCAAGCAGGACAGAAGGCAGGTTGAGAGGCCAAATGCCAAAGAGAGGTGTGCCTACAGTCATGGCCCCACTCAGAGAATTGTAGTCTGAGTGTTCCTGATCCTGAACTGTAACCTGTTACTTCCCTGATAAACCCCATAACTGTGAGTATTGTCTGTGAGTTCTGTGTGGCCACTGCAATGGATTATCAAACTCTGTAGAGAAGTAGAGAGTGTCATGGTAGGGATGGTTGGTGTCAGAATTGATAAAAGGGTTGGAGGGTGGTGGTATGTTGGACCTCCACCTCATAGGAACCAGCCTTGGGTTGTTGATGTCCTTCTTGATTCTGTTTCCTCCTGTGAAGTTAGAAGTCAGACCCTGCCACTGCCACTCCCTTTTTGCCAGTACATGGTGGGAACTGACAGATCATGCTAAGAAGTCCACAAGCAGCTGCACTTTGCTGGGGCACAATGTTCAAGTGAGGGAGAACAAGTGACAACAATGACATGGATTCCTGGGGTCTGTTAGGATAAATGTTGCTGCTGTTAGCTGCTTTTAAGTCAGTTCCAGCTCAGATTGGTATACTGAGTAGAACTGTGTTCTGTAGGGTTTTCCAAGCTTTGACCTTTCAGCAGCAGATAGCCAGGTCTTTTGCTTCTGCTTCTTGGTAAGTTCAAACCACCAACCTTTGGGCCAGTAGTTGTTGAGCCCTTAAGTATTTGTGCAGCTAGCACCTGGTAAAAGATACTTATTATAGAGTTACTGTAGGTCTTAACTAAGGGAATTGTTTGATAATTATTTCTGGAAAAAATTTCCAGAAGCTGCTTGTCAGCAGGTTGGAGGGAAGAAACTAAAGATGAGGAACAGTGTATTTTAGTAGCTTGAGATAACAGGAGCCTGAGTTTGTGGGTAGTTAGAGTTATGTGTCAGCTTGGCTGGGCCTGGTTTTGAATGGCTGGGCAGCTGGATGTAGTTATTCCCCATGCTGAGGTTAGTAATCCACTCCTGGACCAGCTGAGTAGCTGCTTTAGGGATGTGGTCTGCTTCCAGGACATAAGAAACAACTTTGAGGAAGGCCGTTAGCTTTGGCATACTTGAATCCCACATGTAGCAGAATCGTTATTCAGCAGCCTGCCATGTTGTCTGCCAAGCTTGGGACTCTTAATGGACTTGAATCAATGGCCTGCTGTGTTGTTTGTATTTGTTGACCTTGGGCATGTCAGCCTCAGCAGCCAGCACTTGCCTGAGTGAAGAAACCCTCCAGCTCCGGTGGGCCAGGAGCAAGAGGCAGAGCTGAAGCCCCAGGTCGAGGGGCTTCTACCTAGCCCCTAGAGCCTGGCACTTTGAACTCAGACTTCTATCCTAGACAATTGTAAGAGAATAAACTCCTGTTTGTTAAAGTCATCCGCCAGTAATATTTTCTGTTAGAGTGGTACGAAGTTACCAGAACAGCGTGGGTAGCCATGGAAAGAGGAAAGGAAAGAGCTGTTGATTTTTCTTTTATGTTTAAGTTCTGAAATCATGGCTTCAGAGATTTATGCAAGTTCACAATAATGGAAATGGTTTTTATATCATAGGGCAGCCTGCCATGGGAGCAATCAGAATGAGATGCACTGGAGTTGGGGCCTCAGGTAGCAGAGATGATTTTAAATCAGTCTGTGGACCTGCCTGGATGCCAAAGGGGAATTTCAATCCATCTGTAATGCTTCTTTTCATTCCAATTGTTCTCTCCATCTTATTTCCCTCAGTGCCCCTAATGATGAAATTGACATAGAGTTCAAGTGCAAAAGAGAAAACATCCAGTTCAATTCTGCAAACAGAATGACCCAGAGGGCTGGATGGATCAGTGTAATTTAACATGAGCATTCACAAATGTCAGTCTTCCAGACCTCACCCTCATGTAAGATGGTAAGTACCCTGCCCCCACTAAAGACTGTACATGGGGCACTTACCGCAAGCATCCACTTTGCGAGGAAGCGCTCTCCACGTAGTGTTTCAGAGCAAGCTGGAATTCCTCCAAGTCATCTTCTATGACAGACATCTGACGCTGCACAAGCATGATGTGCTGCGGAGGAACGGGCCAGGGTTACTGCGTAGGTGCTCACGGAGCCTTGCCCAAGCCAGCGCCCCTGCTGCCCAGCCCACCCCTCTGCATAAACAAATGGTTCTCAGTTAAAAATATGACCAATGAAAACCATGGCTGTTCCCAGTAAAGCAGTAATATAGGCAGAGTATTTTCCTTGCCTCTGGTAACAGAAGCTAAAGGAAGGTGTCTTTCACAGTGACTTTCCCCCACCTTTAGAACCATGATTCTTTATTAGAATCACTGAGAAGGTTTTAAAATTACAAGATCTTTTATATTATAGAATCTCTGGGAGTAGGCCTAAAGGCTGGTATAGGTTTTTGGGAAGTGATTAGAATGTGCAGCCAGGGTTCAATCGATTCGTTGGAGTCATTTACCACATTTAAAAAAGAAGTGTATAGCACTCTGCACATCTCTGACTTCTTCTTGGATGTTTTGTGATCTCCAAAATACTTCCTTGGATATTTTATTTAAATGTAGTGTAAGAGTCATTGCAAACATTGAAATTTCAAAAAAATGTACGTTTACTGATAAGTTTCCAAAGTTACATTAACCATTACAGGGTTCTCAAACCTATTAATCACTTACAATAGGTCATGTACAAAATCTTATGATATTAGATGGAGCCTGTGTTTAATGGATCACATTTGGTTGGATGCCAACTGCTTCTTGTAACAAATCCTATTACCATTAGAGTTTAATGTTGTAGTTTGAAGACTTTCATAAAGAACTTCCTTTAGGCTTCTCATGGATTTGTTCTCTCAAGAGTAGTTCTTTTCTCTTCAAGGATTGGGAATGAATTATAAATGTGCATAAGAAAACAGTAAGGATTGGGCATGAGTCACACAAGTGCAGAGAAGCAAAGTAAAGACCATCTAGAATGAGAAAAATAACCTGGACAATATTTCCTACTTAAGTAGTGGTTTGAAACCAAAAAAAAAAAAAAAAAAATCAAACTCACTCCCATTGAGTCGATTCCGACTCATAGCGTTGGGTTTCTGAGGTGGCGAATCTTTACCAAAGTAGATTGCCCAGTCTTTCTTCTGTGGAGTGGCTGGTAGGTTTGAAACGCCAACATTCTGGTTAGCAGTCAAATGCCTTAGGCAGCATGCCACCAGAGCTAGAATTAAATCAAAATTCTAGTTTTCTGGCTCCTATTCCAAAGAATTTCTCACTTCATGTGGCTAACTACTCTTTGCTGAATAATCATTCTTTTGTAGGCACCACTTTAGGCATTTTATATATATTTAGCAACCACTCCCTCTTTGTGCCAGGTGTGAGGTTCTGCATAAACAGTCATGAATCAAGACAGAATTCTTGTTCTTGTGGGTTTTAGTAAGGAAATAAATTGGGCTTGAAAAGTATGTCTAGGAAATAAGTGTAGATATGGTTACTAGCATGTGAAACTGACATGTAAGCTGATCAGAAATCTATTAAATATTCCTGGAATCTGTAACCAAGGCTTAAAATCCTTTGGTTGTTTAAGCCTTAAAATAATATTTTGTTGTTGTTGTTGTTGTTTGCAGTCGAGTCGGCCCCGACTCATAGCGACCCCTCCTTGGGTTTCCAAGGCAGTATCACTATGGAAGTAGGATTGCCAGCACTTCAAATTATATGAGCAGGAAGCAGTGAGTAAAGGATAGCCCCTAACCCACTGCCATCCAATTGATTCTGACTCACAGTGACCCCCACTGGGTTCCCGGGGCTGTAAATCTTTACGGAAGTACATTGTCTTATCTTCCTCTCACAGAGTAGATGGTGAGTTTGAACTGTTGACTTTCTGGTTAGCAGCCAAATGTCTTACCCACTATGCCACCAGAGCTCCATGTAAGGAGGGTAAAATTCTCCAATGGGCCATTTCAGATGTGTCCATAAAGGATAACACACAAAGAAGAACCTCCTAAAAGAATGATGGATAGTAGGGTTACTCCTGGAATGGAGACCCAGTGTTTAATCAAGGAACTTTCTTTGAAAACTACTTTCTCAGAATCATTTCAATGGATCAGTGAGTGTTGCATGTTTCCCATTAATTCCTTTTTCTGAATAGCATTTCTATGGCAGTTATCCTGGCCCAGTTTTATTGTTGTACACCTGGATGTGTATGTGTATGTAGTGGGATGTTGCAGGTAATTTAACTTTTTGTTCATAGGCTGGCCACATCTCAAGGGATTACATTCTGACTTGATAGAGAGGACTGAGCATCATCTGGGCTTTAAGCAAGAAGCAGTAACTGGAGACTTTGGGGTCGCTATGAGTCGGGGCCAACTCGATGGCAAATAACAACAACAACAACAACCCTGTGGAGGTGTCTGCGTGTACTCTACATATAGAAGGAGGGCTGCAAATGAATATCTGATGACAAGAAGGTGGGCTGCGCTGAGACTACCATGTGCTCACCCAAAGCCATTCCTTCTTCTTTTAGGTACATTTAGACTTCTTTTAGACTACATTTTCCAGCATTCCTTGTAGTTAGGACCAGCCAATTGATGAGTTCTCACCAGCAGAATATGAGCAGAAGTGTTCTGTAACTCTTTTAAGACAAGACTTTGAAAAAGCACGTGAGCCTCCTTCATATTCTTTTTCCCTTCCTTTCTGCTGGGAGGATGGAGACCTGCATCAGGATTGGCAGAGTTACACGATGAGAGGAGCCTGCATTCCTGAATCACTGTATGGATTGTTTAATGGGGAAAGGACATAATTCATTGTGTTAGAACCATTATGGATTTTGGGTCTATGTGTTTCTATAGCCTATTCATCCTAATGAGTTCAACAATTTCAACTGAGCTTTTAATTTCCCTTCAGAATCAGGGATCAAAAATCAGTACATACGATCCCATAAGTGTCTCCTAAGGTTTTGTGACAGAACAATCAACCTCCTCTATGGCTCTCCCAGACTCCGAGTTCTAATATCAATAACTAAGTAGAGCTAAACTTAATTTCTGCCAAAATAATTGTGGACATGCTTTATTCACAGAAATCTGCAGGGATTGCTTAGTCAGGTATTTATGATTAACAATGACTCACACAATTCTCATGGGCTTCCTCAATGGGATATATAATTATATTCACCTGCTCCACCATGGAGTCCCTAGGGGTGAAAATGGTAAATGCACTTGGCTGATAACTGAAACATCGGCGGTTTAAGTCCACCCAAAGGTGCCTTGGAAGAAAGATCTGGTGATCTACTTCCAAAAAATCCCTCAACTACTAAAAACCCTGTGGAGTACAATTGTACTCCGACACACTTGGGGGCACTGTGAGCCAGAATTGGCTCCATGGAGGCTGTTTTTTTTTTCTTTTAATTCCACCATAATTTTTTTAGTCTAAAGTCATTCTTATGAAGTACAATAGGGTAGACTGCAAAAATGACCATAAATGGTCAGTAAACTTTTCTGTAAAGGGCCAACTAGTAAATATTTTAGGTTTTGCCACCATATAGTTCCTGTCATTTCTCAGCTCTGCTGTCATAGGGTGAAAGCAGCCATGGACAATTTGACTTCATTCCAAAAAACTTTATATACAAAAACAAACAGTGGGCTGTAGTTTTCCCTCCCCTGCACTAGAGGATGAAAGACCAGAGAGTGCAGAACTGACTCATCCCAGCTGAGGCCAAAGACAGATGAGAAACTCCAAGATCAGCAAAGCTGACATGCAGCTAATATGATGCCTAAGGGAGGCCAGCTGAGACCAGAAGAGCCACCCAGTTGATCGCAGGTAGCTTACTGCCTAAAGGCACTTGACTGCTAACCAGAAAGCTGGTAGTTCAAACCCACCAGCCACTCCTCGGAAGGAAGGTTGGGCAATCTACTGCCTCAGAAACCCAAGGAGGGGTCACTATGAGTCGGGTACGACTCAAGGGCACATAACAACAACAACCTGCAGAAGGGTGGTTATTGTTTTAAACCCTGACATTTGGGAGTAGTTTGTTATGTAGCAATAGTTAACTGATGAATCCACTTACATAACCTAGATGTGAATATGATTTGGAAAAATTTAACTCTTGGCTCCCAGATTTTACTTTGTAATCCAAACAAAGCATTTTCCTCAGATATTACACCAGTAAATTAATTGATGAGGTGCAGGTAAGTCTGCCTAAGTGTGATGACTCTCTGACAAGTGGAGCTTTTAGAATCATGGATAATTTCAGATAGACCTTCTGAGATGCAAAGAAAACCCTTCAATTTTCTATGCTGCCTGGGCGAAGGCAAGTTGTGAGTGTGGGATGTTGGAGAAAAGGAAAAGGAGTCTTAATATCTTGATAGAATTTCTGTATGTCTCTTGTGTCAAATGCACAGCCTGAAACCTGAATAGCCAGGCCAGAAAATTCCTTCATGGTAAAATGTACCAGTGTTATGTTTTTGTTTCTCTGGGGTGGCAGAGGCCTTTATCACTTACCTTATGGACATTTTGTTATAATGGAATTATAGATAGTGTGATATTCTGAATTTCTTGGGCAGAAAGTGCTCTGTAAGTGTGAAGAGCCATTCCAAATTTGCAGAATGATATTTGCCAGTGACATTAGGTTGGGGTTATTATATCTGCCTTGAAACATTTCTAATGTATAATTACCTTTTTTTTTTTAACCTCAGAGACATATTTTAAATGCAACAGTTTCATGGTATCTGGCTCTATTTATGACATTTCTAACTGTGTTCCAAGTATATCTTCAGAGATATTATGAGTCTTTCTGATATGATCTCACTGAATCTCTTAACAGCTATTACAAAGCAATATTATGTTTTGATTGTCCCTGACATATTAGTTGGCAACAGCCCCCAAAATACTTAGAGTGTACAAAAGAATTGATTTACTTTATAAAACATTATTCATAGGTTTTGTGGGGGTGGAGAGGCAGAAAATGATATTAGATTTGCAGATTCTAATCGTATGATAAGCAATTCCAGACATGCAAAACAATGTGCTGAAGAAAAGTTTGAGTTTGTAAAAAAACAGAAGGATGTGCTCAACTCTTGGTTACCATTATCTTGACTTCTAACAAACTCATTCTGAATGTAGAACATATCTGGAAAATGACCTTTTCCAGTAGTCGTGTGATAAGAAGGCACACAATGGCACCAGACAAAAAGGATTCAAGTGGATCAATATACCTGGCCAAACCCATATGGGTGGCTGAAGCAATTCCTTTCCAAAATTGACTCTCTTCTTGTTTCATATTTACTATTTGGTACTTGATAGCTGGAAGACAACAAATTATCTGTAAAATATTCATATGTCTTTGAGTCTTGGACTTTAGATGTGGGTTTGTCTCTGCTGTACGTGTTTATCTTTCATTTTATTTTAGCAAAATTAAATTGGGAATTCCTCAGGCTACTGTGTCTTTATAATTGTTTCTTATAAATCATTCGGAACATTTTAATATTTCTATTTATATTTATTTAATAGTTCTATTTATTATTTATTACACATTCTTTCAGTAGACTTAGAACAAATCAATGTACCAAAATATAAAAAAAATAAAAACAAAACTCACTGCCATCGAGTCAATTCTGACTCATAGTGACCCCCATTGGGTTTCTAAGGCTGTAACTCTTTATGGAAGCAGACTGCCCCATCTTCCTTTCATGGAGCAGCCTGTGGGTTTGAACTGCCAACCTTCTGGTTAGCAGTCAAAGGCCTTAGGCACTGCGCCACCAACCAAAATCAAAAACCAAACTCACTGCCGTGGAGTCAGATCTGACTCATAGTGAACCCTCCTTGGGTTTTCGAGGCTGTATCACTACAGAAGTAGATTGTCCAACCTTCTTTCTGAAGAGTGGCTGGTGGGTTTGAACCTTGAGCCTTCTGGTTAGCAGTCAAATGCCTTAGGCACTACACCACCAGAGCTCCTAAAAAAACCATGGTTAGATGCCACAAAGTAGGCGGCAATGCCTTAACCGTATGTGTGTTGTAAGGCCCAAGGGCCTCTTCCATCCTTGTCAAGGGGAGTGCTAACCTTCTCTCCTTTCAGAGCTCCTTTGATACTTTATTTATTTTAGAAAAGAATTTGAGATGACTTTGCAAACTCTACAGTGCTGTACAATTAATAGATGTCCTTTTATCTATGCCCAACATTCTGTCCTTTCTGTCCTTCCATTCCTTTCTTCTTTCTCCTTTACTGGCATGGAGTATAAATGAAAAAAGATTTACTATGTGGCCTTAAACAGATTCCTTAATCTTTCTCATCTTAAGTCTTCTGATACGTAAAATTGGAGTAGTGGTGTTTATATGCTAAGAATTAGGGGGATTAAATAGAATAATGTATGTATAGATCTTGCCCCATGTTAGGTAGTCAACGATATTACTTCTCTTATTCCAGTCTGGGAAAAAGATAGATGTTAAAAAAGAAATCACAGCCTAGACTCATCATTATGCAATGGCTCATGGCCCAGAGAAATCTAGGTATGGCAGCTGCCAGGGTTCAGGACTTTTGTTGTGTGCTAAAATTAGCCTACCAGACAATCTGCTCTGCTCTAATGATAGGAAATCTGATGTAAGAAGTTACCCATTAGCCCATAGTCAACCTCACTAGCAAAGAGCAACTCTACTTTGTTGTTGTTATTTGCCATCGAGTCGGCCCTGACTCATAGTGACCCCTCCTTGGGTTTCCAGGCAGTATCACTACGGAAGTAGGAATGCCCAACCTTCCTTCTGAGGAGTGGCTGGTGGGTTTGAACCACCAGCCTTCTGGTTAGCAGTCAAGTGCCTTAGGCACTATGCTACCAGAGCTCCTAACTCTACTTTAGCATCCATTAAACCCACTGAGCTCTCTGGTAGCATAGTGGCTAAGGCACTTGACTGCTAACCAGAAGGCTGGCGGTTCAAACCCACCAGCCACTCCTTGGAAGGAAGAGGGGGCAATCTACTTCCGTAGTGATACTGCCTCGGAAACCCAAGGAGGTCCGACTTGACGGCACATAACAAAAACAAATCCACTGAACACTAGGGTTGAAAATATTACAGTGTGTGGTGATGAGTGTGGGTCCAACATCAAGCTCCTGGGCTTCAGTATGGTATTTAAACCTCTGTGCACTTTAATTTCTTCATTTGTAAAGTGAAGCAAATGATGGTCTCTCACGGGGCTATCATGAGGACCAAATGAATTATATATGTGTGTGTTCAGTGCAATGCTTGGCACATACCAAATGCTCAGTAAAGATTAGCTTTTGAAAAACAGAAAGTATAATGAAAATGTATTCTTTGCTTTCTGCTGTGGAATTTATTTTTTAAATCCATTATGCATTCACTAAAGTAAATGAGAAAAGGAAAATTACCTCTTTAGTCTATGGATTTTGAAACTGGTTTTGGTCACCAGGATAAATCACCGAACATATAGCTCTCCTCCAAAGACAGGGATGTGGTCTGTGTTAATTCATCAGGAACTCAGAATTGTAAAAGTAGTATTTTTATTTTGTTGGGAAAGTGAGAGGAGAGGAGTGTTGAGTGCTAGCTTGTATGAATGCTAACGATGAAATGACAATAGAAAATGTTTTTAGTCATTCTGAATGTAGGAAGTGCATGCATGTACTACTACTAATGAAGAAACTACAACTTTGAATGACAAATATTTGACTGGTATATCTGAAGAAACAAAATAATTCAAATTATTACTATATGCCTACTTCCAAAGAGCATAATTATGTTAATTTTACACAAGGTTGAAAATACTTAAGGGATATCCTTTCCTGCTTTGCAGTTTTAAAATAATACAGGTCTGAAGTGCCTTGCCCACTCCTAATTACATACTACTCCACACCCCTGAATTAGTAGTTTTGTGTGTGTTGATAGATCTTTTAAAAGTGATGTTGGCTTCTCCCCCCTGTCAGGAACCAGACAATGGACCTGTCTGCCACCTTTCCTAAGCAATCCTTTGATGTTTTTATCCCCTGTGGCTGGAGGGAGGTAACACTCTCACGTTAGGAAATTATTTAAGGAATTATGTTCATTTTTTTCTTGGCTGCAGTGCAGTGTTCCCTTTAACACAAACCTAGGAGATGATCTAGATGAAGACCACAAACAATGTGTGCTCCATAACACTCTCCTCCCACCTGCCCACCAAAAGCGACTACTTTAAAATTCTGGAATTCTGATGAATTAACATAGACCATGTCCTTGTCTCTGGAGAAATAAGAACACTGGACATGCACTGAAACTATGACTTATATCAGGGGAAAGTATCCATATGTATAGATTTCTAATTTTAACAGCCCTTACTAAGCTTATCCAAGAATCCCTCAAGCTTCTTCTCTGAAGACTCCTTTGTGTTAAGAGTTTAGTCAGGGAGCAGGGCCCTGACACACAGGGTGGGTGTCACCTTCTCCTATCATGCAGTCAGTGCCTGTAGAATAAGTGCTCAATAGAGAAATAAGAGACATTTCCTATTTTTGTTTCATGCCAATATGATTGATTCTCCCAATCTATAAAATATATTAACATGTTTATGGTATTAAGGTATTAAAAATAAAGTTTCTGTAAATGCCTAAGATTTTTTTAATTCTAAGCTCTCACTAAATATAATTGCAAATATCCCGTTTTCCCAAACAGAAGATACTATAAATATGTCTCAAAATAAAGTAAAATACTAAACCATATACTTTGTTGAAACTGTTCATTTTTTCCCTAATTCATTTTGCTGTATTATAATGTACCTATTAGGATCACTCTGTCCCTCTTCCTTTCAGTCTCTAGACTGAAGTAGCACCACTCTGGATGAACCTCTTTCCTACAGGGAGATAAATGTTCCCCTTTCTCTAGACATCAATTCATTCTTTGAAAAATGTTTTCTGAGCAGCTGCAATGTGCCTGGCTCTGGGCTAAATGCAGGAAACAAATAATGAACCAGAGAAGGTTTCAGCTCAGGTGTAGCCCTCAGCCTGGGGTGGGTGGTCTCCAGAATGCGTTTATGCTACATTTTGAAAGCTGCTCTTCTCTGCCAGTCATAGCCATTCAGTTATTCTAAAACTCATTGATTTATGCATGCATGAACTTTTCATTTTGTTACTATTATATACTTGGTCCTTTCACAAAAACCTTGTGAAATACGTACTAGATTTGCATGGATAACAATTTAGAAAATACAACTCAGCTATGCAAAACTGAATCATGCCCATGTATCATTCACTTTTTCAATTTTTCATTGAGTTAGCTATTAATGTAAAGAAATTGAATCATGTTTTTAAGATATATTTCTAAAATTCTGACCTAGAAAAAGTACTTACAGATTTGGTATTCCCTTCAATAACTTCTTCTTCCAGTGGTTCAAGTTTGAGATCCTTTGTTTAGAAGAAATGGGGGAAAAACAAATTAGCTAATTAAAAGAAACGTTGCATATTTGAATGGTAGCTCTTTTATGGATAACTTTGAGCCAAAGAAAACCTCATTATTTAAAAGGAGATGAAATAATTCTGATTTTTTTCTTCCCCATTGTGCTCACCAATAAAGACTTATGGTACCCATTTATCAGTTGTAAGGAGCCATTTAAAATGTGTTCTATTTCTTACTGCTTGTGATAGTTTTGTTTGTGTGTCAACTTGGCTGGGCCTGGATGAGTAGCTGGGCAGATGGTGGTAGTTATTCCCCATGATGAGACTGGCAATTAATTAACTCCATGGTGGGATCTACTACAGGCAGCTGAGTAGCTGCCTTTGGGATGTGGTCTGTTTCCTGTATTTAAGGAGAAGCCTTGGGAATAGTCTCTAGCCTATGGTATGACTGGACTCTGAATGTACCCTTGTCGTTGCTCAGCAGCCTGCTATGCTCTGCTGACCTTGGGACTTACAATGGACTTAAGTTAATGGCCTGCCGTGTGGTTTGGTAACATCAAGACTGTGCCTTTTTACTTGTCAACCTTGGGGCTTGTCAGCCTCAGCAGCCAGCAGCTGTCTGAGTGAAGAAAAGCCTCTAGCTTTAATGGGCCAGGAGCTGGAGGCGGAGCTGAAGCCCAAGGCTGAGGGGCTTTCACCCAGCCCCTAGAGCCTGGCACTTTGAACTTGGACTTAAAGCCTCCAAATTGTAAGACTAAACTCTTGTTTGTTAAGGCCATCCCATTTATGGTATATATTCCTGTCAGAGCAGCACTAGGTAACCAGAACACTGCTATACATTTATCTCATTGATGCCATTAAAAGAGAGTAAAGTGAAGAGAGACTCATATTAAAACAGAGAGGAATAGGATAAGGAGGCAAAAGTAAAAGTTAGACAGATGACTAAGCCTAATGGGCTCATTTCTTTTGCTGCGAGTATTGCCATAATTCTATATTTCTTAGGACATTTATTATAGATATTAGTGTTACTTCCATTGTGCATTGCAAATAGAAAATGCATTAGAAGGTAAATGAAAACTCCACTATTGATATCTGTGAAATATGAAGGACCCTTAAACAGGCCTTACAGCCTCCTGTGAGGACCAAAAGATAATTTTAATGTGCCTAGTGAAACCAAGTGTGTAATCCTTGAAGACTCCATTCTGTGACTATGAATCTGAGAATTCTGGCTAAGTGAAGATTATGCACAATAATTCCTTCAAATAGATAAGAAACAAATTGAAACTTGGAGAAATCCAGACTATCTGAAATAAATTCAAGTGGCTAATAACAGATCTATGTAGCTTTATTGTGCTGTTCTCTTGTGGTGGAACTTTAGGCAAGTTATTGAACTTCTGTGGGCTTTGAATTCACTGTTGCTTCTGCATTAAGTTCTCTATCCCTAGATATTCACTTAGCTGGCTCCTTCTTGTCTTTTACACATCAACTTAAATATCACCTCCTTAGAGAACCTTGTTAAAGAGACCTCCCCAGACCAACCACTTATCAATCCACACTCTATCTTTATCATATTACTCTACTTGTGCCTGATAGCACTTTTCACTATCTGAAAAGCTTTTATTTAATGGATTTTTTTTTTTTTTACTTTTGCTTTGTCTCCCAGAAGCCAAGTACTATATTCCCACTGCCATATCACATAGTAGATACTCACTAAATGTTCATTGAATAAATGAATGGTTGAACGAATTCTCCATCTAAATAAATAGTTTTTCTCTAGAGGCAAAATGATAGAATGTATACAGATATGAATTGAAAATTAAAATGTACTCCACAGATTAAAAACTATAACAGCAGTAATCACCTTGATGGCTCCTTCCCTGACATCAACACAGATATACTTTCAATCCTACCTTCTTTGATCTAAGGTGAGAAAAATACAAAACAAATTGTATGAGTGTGGATCCCTTGGAGTGAGGATGTCCTGTGAGCTGACAACCCACAGAGGGTTTGGTGAAGAATGAAAACTTTTTTTTTACATTGTTATTGTTTTGTTTTAAATAAACTAAGGTTTTTCCTGCAGAGTTCAAATAAAATGTGAGATAGAACCTCAACATATACCTGAAAAAGAAGGGATGCCTGAAGAAACTTGTAGAAATTGTACGTGTAATTTTTTCCCCACATGAATGGTATTGGGCTTTGGTTTATAGTGCAGCCAGGATTTATCATAAATACTTAAGGGAGAAAAAAGGCAGATCAAACTCAGTGCTAACAACTGAAGGACACAAGGAAGTCAGCAGTGAGATGACATGCACTTATGTGCTGTTGGGTAATTGGGTAGTTTTTCTCTAAAAACTCAATTTAGCACCATACAGGATAAGTTGTAGAAGAAAACTGAACTTGCACTGTTTTTCTATTCATTTAGACAGTTCATGCTGAGCCTCACACAGCTGGAGCCCCAGGCTGAAAACCATCATGTTGTACTTTCAGCAAACCTCTTAGACGCTGTCTTCAAAATGAAACCCTTTCACAGGAAGGGAGTCCAGGAAAGAAAGAGACGTGATGATGCTTCATTTGATGTAAAGTTTTTTTTTTTTTTTTTTTTTTTTGAGGTTACTCTGTGATTTATCATTTTTTTTAAAAATAACTATATAAATTTAAGACACCAAA